TYCCCYTTGAAAATGACATSCAATCGATTCTCAGCAATACCACATGCATAGCTAAGAAAACAGCTCACAGTGTTTTCATAAAAACATGCCTTAATGTAGTAAACACCAAAATAACTTACGCACGCAACCCAACAAATATATTGACAAAGACACGAGGAAATTACCTAAAATTTAGCGTTGCTTWTATTTCATAGTGAGCTTCCGACGTAGCTACTCCTTGACGAATATATCAATTTTGGCATGTCTTCAGTTTTTCCCCTAAAGCGATAATACTATAGTGTTTTTTTATTAGTCATATACATTTGGGGAGACTATCTCCATGTTTCATTTCCTGTGATTTTACTTAGAAAGTGTTTTTTTTCACGTTTAAACTACGTATTGACAGTTTAATCGTACGCACTTAGCTTTATCGATGACGCGTTGTGTTGACTATAGTTAATAGAATGGAATGGGATGAAATGAAATAAAAACAACGGAAAAAGAATAGAAATAGAAGTGGAGTGCAATGAAATAAATCCTATTCTCTTTTTAATCGTGCGCACTTAGCTTTATCGATGACGCGTTGTGTTGACTATAGTTAATAGAATGGAATGGGATGAAATGAAATAAAAACAACGGAAAAAGAATAGAAATAGAAGTGGAGTGCAATGAAATAATTCCTATTCTCTTTATATATATTTCAGGAATATGTGGCTATGCACATCCTTGGGAAGCGATCATAATTGGTGCCCTGGGTGCTCTCATCGCGTGCTATAGTGTTCCTTTTCTAGAGCACCTCCACATCGACGACCCWGTGGGAAGTGTYTCGATTCATTTATTCCCAGCGATATGGGGAATGATAGCAACAGGACTATTCCTCAARGCAAACACGATTGTCACGATGCACAAAGGGGGTATTTTCTCGACAGGAACGTTTAAATTCCTAGGAGTACAGATACTTGCAACGCTAGTCACATCGGTTTGGTGCGCAATCATGGCATTCATTATACTGTTCATCATCAGTAAGACAATAGGACTCCGGGTTTCTTACCAGGAGGAAGTCTTGGGGGCRGATATCGTAGAGCACTCCTTAGGGGGGTACTCTAAGGCACGTAGGGGTGGGGTGTCCCAGGCTGCCTCSAATAAYATACATAGTAAAAACGTTGAAGCAGATATCGACACCATTAAGGATAACCTGGAAAGACTAAGAAGACTCGCCGATATGCATATCATGAACGAGACTGAAGACGYTAGCCATATWAGCCATAGCAGAAGAGAGTCTGCWGAAGACGATACGGGTTCTGAATTCGAAGAACCGATCGTTCCTCCCCCACGTGTTCGATTTGTTTACAATTAAAGATACAAAGACCATTACTAAAGATTGCAGAAGAAAGAAATCAACTTTCTAAGTACATGTATTTTAATGATAAAAATAACATGACCTTTACCATGTGGGAACAAGGATTTTTTGTATTGTTACGCATGCGTGGAGKTATGCGACAAACGTCCTTTGCAACATTGGCACTGAAGGTTTGAACTTCCTTGATGAAATTTTTGTGCAGCCTTCTAACTTGTTTYGGTCATACAAAATGTCTTACTAACAACCATTTGTATAATTCTGTCCAAYTTTCCATTCTGGAAATCTGTTATTTGTAGATTTTATTAGCACTGCTAAGCTGGAGTCATTGGACAAGGCGCAATGTTTCACTCTGTTATCCCRGAATGCTTTGACAATGAAATAAATCTTTTTTACTAACGTTTTCTTGCTTTATTCTTCATCATAAATGTACTCTTCATCATCGAAACTATCATCGTCTTCCTCATCAGGGGTCTTGTTAAATGTAACCAATCCATTAAGTACAGCATAAGAAGCCATGGCAACAGTTGCTATGCCAACAGATAAACACAACTTGTAGGTTTGRTAGGGATCTTCATCTGAAGTRTGAGCTGATTGTGATGAAGATGTGTTTTCGTCTTGCCTGTTTTCTTGAAAATAATAATATACTGTTGCCTTAGGTGTTGCTAAAATGGCAMTTTGTAAACTGTCAATTACACTTTCCTTMAAATTGCTTACAGGCTAAGATTATAAAACCAGAAAAAMACTGGGCCATTTTTCATAAAAAGAATCAAAAATAGCACACTGTTAACTCAAAATTATATTAAAAAAACAACCTGAATTAAAATAAGTTCTGACTAAAGACTCAAAAACAGTCTTCTTACCTTCTGGGTATACAGGAAAGTATCTTTGAAGTACTCGACTACAGAAACCAATWAGRTTTYCAAACCCCATCAATTGATTTTTGAGTTTGTTGTTTGGTAATGGTGGAGTTCTCCAGATTAGAGCAAGATGAGCAAAAGCCACTGCATCTAGTGTAGTAGGACTGAAAAAAGAATATTATTTCACTCACTCATTTATATATTTGTTAATTGATATATGATATTTTTTCGTCTTTGGGATTTCTTTGTAACAGTCATTTAACCCTTCCTATCCCATTCCCCCCCCTCCATTTTACACACAGGAAACCCAAGAGCAAAGTGAATCACATTGATGCCTTTTAGAGCATTGTATCTTACTTACTTTTCTCCAAAGAAAAAAGGTTTGTCTCCAAGCTGAATTGAGAGGAAACTCAAACAATCAAGTGCATCTTTGTATATCTGTAATAAAACATAATTTGGATTCATGATAATGACACAAAATATATTGAGTTTTTGATACCTTTTTCTCAAAAGCACTTTCATGTTCTTCATCAATGACATGTCCTTTATAGACTGTGTTCTTTGCTATTTTTGCCATTTGGCCAGGAATTATGAAGCTCAGAGGGATTGGTAGTCTTTTTGCGTATAGTTTTCTWGTAAACTCACTGTAATTTTGTGTGTCAACCCATAGAGCAAAMAGCTAAAAAGAAATTCATTAATAATTAGTGATAAAAATCATCTCTGCCTTTTATATCATGATTTAATTCTAACCCCCTCTTTCTATCCCCTTTTACTTTTCTTGTGGGGTTCCTGTGTTGCTCAAGACAAAAACTCAACTAAGAGGTGAGGTATCAGTCCAACTCTTCCCACAGGGAGCCCAAAAAGAGATGTAAAACGAAMATTACCAGAGTAGGCTTCAGTTTTTCCTCAATGAGGGCTTGAAAGGCTAATGTGTCTGCTCCTTGCTTGGCTGACAGTTGATAATCTGCATTAAAATTCTGATGATCAAGAACATAAAAGTGTATTAGTATTAGTAATCCAGACTGTCGTAGCCTAATCTATCTCTCCATTCTCCACTTCCTGATGGTCAAACTAAGAGGATTATGGCAATGTGCACACATGCATACCTTTTCTCTAAGGAAATCCATAATATTTCTTGGTGAYGTCAATACTTTATTTTGAGATTTAAAAATCGGCAGATACCCTAAAGGTGGTTATGACAGAATATCAGCAGAAATATCGTAGGTGCATGCATAAAASTTAGGGTGCTTTCCATTTAGGCAGAACTGGCTGGCCAGTCCACTCTATTTAGAGGTATATAATGCTTTTTGTCAACATTTTTCAGTCATTTCGAGGTTTTCTGTAGAAGAATGGATAGGATTTGAACATTTGAATTTCGTAACTAAATGGGAATGATATATAATGACATTTTCTCTGGGTCTGGCCAGCCAGTTCTGACAAATGGAAAGCGCTCTTACTACATCAAATCAGATCTATTTTTATAAGTGTAAATTATTTATATTTCGAGCATATTCCACATGGCTTGTTAGCGCCTCTTCTGTTCTGATGTAATCTGTAACTCGATATTTATACAATTTGTACTCACATGTTGGTGATYTCCAGGGATTGTTGTRTTTCTGAACCTTGAGTGGACAGCCTGAGAATTTTGCATAAGTCTATAAAAATCAAGAAAATCACAACGTCATGCATTGATTGTAATTCTTTTAAMACTAAGAGAGGTTTTCACACATACAAGGACTTTTAAACATTCAATATCGATGGAAGGGAGGCCCCATTCACCAGACCARCTCAAAACTTCCATCTTCACGTCCGCCATTTTGATTTTTGCGCAGGAGGTCTGGAACTAGTTTATAGGATTAGGTGAGAATTTTCCCGCCATTTTTTCAGTTCGTTGTATCATTGTTTACTGAGGCTTTTATTTCATATTTAGATTCGATAGAAGTATCATAGAAGTAGACTATCGTCTAACATGTAAATTTTATCAAACTATGAATATAAAATAATRTGAAGAGCATATTTTGGGKGATTCCTGTGGTGTAACYGCGCTTCCTTTCAGCGGTTTACTTCATAAAACAAAATGGAGGTCAAAGCTCGTTCCAAAAGATACAAAAAGATTGAATTTCTTGGAGAAGGACAGGTACTATTCATTATTGTTTTATGCTGCGTATTGTATCTCTTGTATCTCTTTGCATTTATTTTTCGTTGTTGGTAGATTAGCTTTCATGAATAAGCTTTCGTTTTGTTGTTATTGTTGTTGTCGCTGTTGTTGTGTTTTGCAAGCATCCCCGTCTTTTATGCAATTTTGTTATAGTTTGCAACTGTCTTCAAAGCTGAAGACCAAGTGACAGGACAAATAGTAGCTGTAAAAAAGGTCAGTTTTAAGCATCAACAAATCTTTTCTTGTCGCTGTACAGGACATTCTCTTGTAGTTAAGCTTACTTCTCTTTTTTTAGATAAAACTTGGAAATAGAACGGAGGCAAAAGATGGTTAGTTATCTCAATAATGTGCATCGCTTTAAGTTTAAATCATTGGTGCTATGATTGCATTGCTTGCATTTTGGTGCAATGATTACACTGTAACCTGTCCATCAGTGGGATATTGTTAGGCTGTTATTGGTAAAATGTGTTTTGTTTGCTAATAATTCACATTTTTTTAGGAATTAACAGAACTGCTCTACGTGAGATCAAATTACTTCAAGAATTACATCATACTAACATTATTGGGGTATGCGACACTTTATTTCCATCTTTTACTACTGGAATTAATAGAATGTACTTTTATATTCTACTTTCAGNTTGCTTGGCTGACAGTTGATAATCTGCATTAAAATTCTGATGATCAAGAACATAAAAGTGTATTAGTATTAGTAATCCAGACTGTCGTAGCCTAATCTATCTCTCCATTCTCCACTTCCTGATGGTCAAACTAAGAGGATTACAAGGCAATGTGCACATATGCATACCTTTTCTCTAAGGAAATCCATAATATTTCTTGGTGAYGTCAATACTTTATTTTGAGATTTAAAAATCGGCAGATACCCTAAAGGTGGTTATGACAGAATATCAGCAGAAATATCGTAGGTGCATGCATAAAASTTAGGGTGCTTTCCATTTAGGCAGAACTGGCTGGCCAGTCCACTCTATTTAGAGGTATATAATGCTTTTTGTCAACATTTTTCAGTCATTTCGAGGTTTTCTGTAGAAGAATGGATAGGATTTGAACATTTGAATTTCGTAACTAAATGGGAATGATATATAATGACATTTTCTCTGGGTCTGGCCAGCCAGTTCTGACAAATGGAAAGCGCTCTTACTACATCAAATCAGATCTATTTTTATAAGTGTAAATTATTTATATTTCGAGCATATTCCACATGGCTTGTTAGCGCCTCTTCTGTTCTGATGTAATCTGTAACTCGATATTTATACAATTTGTACTCACATGTTGGTGATYTCCAGGGATTGTTGTRTTTCTGAACCTTGAGTGGACAGCCTGAGAATTTTGCATAAGTCTATAAAAATCAAGAAAATCACAACGTCATGCATTGATTGTAATTCTTTTAAMACTAAGAGAGGTTTTCACACATACAAGGACTTTTAAACATTCAATATCGATGGAAGGGAGGCCCCATTCACCAGACCARCTCAAAACTTCCATCTTCACGTCCGCCATTTTGATTTTTGCGCAGGAGGTCTGGAACTAGTTTATAGGATTAGGTGAGAATTTTCCCGCCATTTTTTCAGTTCGTTGTATCATTGTTTACTGAGGCTTTTATTTCATATTTAGATTCGATAGAAGTATCATAGAAGTAGACTATCGTCTAACATGTAAATTTTATCAAACTATGAATATAAAATAATRTGAAGAGCATATTTTGGGKGATTCCTGTGGTGTAACYGCGCTTCCTTTCAGCGGTTTACTTCATAAAACAAAATGGAGGTCAAAGCTCGTTCCAAAAGATACAAAAAGATTGAATTTCTTGGAGAAGGACAGGTACTATTCATTATTGTTTTATGCTGCGTATTGTATCTCTTGTATCTCTTTGCATTTATTTTTCGTTGTTGGTAGATTAGCTTTCATGAATAAGCTTTCGTTTTGTTGTTATTGTTGTTGTCGCTGTTGTTGTGTTTTGCAAGCATCCCCGTCTTTTATGCAATTTTGTTATAGTTTGCAACTGTCTTCAAAGCTGAAGACCAAGTGACAGGACAAATAGTAGCTGTAAAAAAGGTCAGTTTTAAGCATCAACAAATCTTTTCTTGTCGCTGTACAGGACATTCTCTTGTAGTTAAGCTTACTTCTCTTTTTTTAGATAAAACTTGGAAATAGAACGGAGGCAAAAGATGGTTAGTTATCTCAATAATGTGCATCGCTTTAAGTTTAAATCATTGGTGCTATGATTGCATTGCTTGCATTTTGGTGCAATGATTACACTGTAACCTGTCCATCAGTGGGATATTGTTAGGCTGTTATTGGTAAAATGTGTTTTGTTTGCTAATAATTCACATTTTTTTAGGAATTAACAGAACTGCTCTACGTGAGATCAAATTACTTCAAGAATTACATCATACTAACATTATTGGGGTATGCGACACTTTATTTCCATCTTTTACTACTGGAATTAATAGAATATAATTTTATATTCTACTTTCAGCTTTTAGACGTCTTTGGTCATAAATCAAACATAAGCTTAGTTTTTGACTTTATGGAAACAGATTTAGAGGTAGAACTTTTTTTTGTCATACTGCAATATTCTTATTTAAAGAATGTATTACTTTACATACAGAAATCTGCCTTATTCAMTTTATAACAGGTATTGATCAAAGATACAAGTATAGTCTTAAGCCCTGCCAATGTCAAGAGTTTTACAATAATGACAATGCAAGGTTTAGAATTCTTACACTCACATTGGATTCTACATAGGGTAAGATCTTAACATACATCTAAAGCTTGAGAAAACTGTCCATTTATGCTGCTTTATATTTTCATTGTAAAAAATGGGGATTATTCCTACATTGTGGAAATAGCGATCATCTCTGATCTTTCAGACATAAATCTGTTCTTCTATATTACATGCAAAGATTTATGCACATGCTTTATAAAATTTCCACTTTTGTGACGTTTTGCCCCAAAACCTTATTTACTGCACACATACTCCATTCTACAATACTATGTCAAAACTATTCATTATAATATTGTTCATTTTTCTCTTCAGGATATGAAGCCTAACAACTTGCTAATAGATGAACGTGGAATATTAAAGATTGGTGATTTTGGTTTAGCTCGCTCTTATGGTAGCCCAACCAAGGTTTACACTCATCAAGTTGTMACAAGGTCCAAAAATACTTATAAATAAAGCAGTGCTTGGCAATGATAGTGAGTTTTGTATGTTGTTTGTTCTTGTAGGTGGTATAGATGTCCAGAGCTACTATTTGGTGCAAGGATATATGGTACTGGTGTGGACATGTGGGCAGAAGGGTGTATTTTAGCAGAGCTGCTACTCAGAGTAAGTAAGCAATCTAAGATCAGTGGGATATCCAGGGGGGGCACGGGCACCCTCTTTCAAAGCCAAAAAAGATCAAAAACAATAGATTGATTTGACATCGTGTTGACGTCACAGTGACAATTTGGTATGTAAGGACCTCCCATTGAMAATCCTGGATATGCCCCTGAAGATTGATTGATAATCTCCATTGCAGAAARTGTTCTGCAACTGAAGTTATTAAGGACCTTTTTGTGTCTCTTAGCAATTTCATTAACAGGATTTTATTGTTTAAATTAGGTTCCATTTCTTCAAGGTGGTACAGACTTAGATCAACTCAGTAAGATATTTGAAACRCTTGGAACACCGAGTGAAGARACATGGCCRGTAAGATTCCAGTATTTTCTGTGGTGTTGGATAAAATACTTTCTTGTAAAATAATTTCTAGTGCCATACYATTGATATACCACTTGTCCACATATTTTTTCTCATTTTAAGCATCTCTGATATATTTTGCATTTTTCTCTTTTATCAGGGAGTTTCCACTTTACCAGATTACGTCCAGTTTAAAAGTTTTCCAGGAATTCCATTAAAGGACATTTTCACAGCAGCTGGTGATGACTTGCTTGATTTACTTGACAGACTATTGGACTGTAACCCTGAAGGACGTGTTAATGCTACTCAGGTTAGTAAAATGAGATTGGGATGGAGTTGGAATGGAATGGGAATGGGAGTAAATCATCCTCCTTGGGTTTCCTGTGGTCATTGCCAACAAGTTCAGACTTWACTAAAATTTAGTGTATTGGAACAGAGTCCTTCATTCTTGAGAATTTGAAATAGCCAAACAGAGACCAAAAAATGAGAATTATATTCAAGTGTTTGGTTTACAGTAAAATCMTCAATGATATCAAAAGATTAACCTAGAAATCCTTGATATTGTATAGGCTCTAAAAATGCCATATTTCTCCAATAAACCTGCTCCAACACCACCACAATATCTTCCAAGACCAAAAAACGCTGTAAATGACAAAACAGAAGACAAACAACCAATAAAAAGAAAACTTGAATCAACAATCGACGAGCAAAGAAGTATGAAGAAAAAGTCATGATGTAACCTTTATTATGAAGCTTAGCAATGGCTTTTTTGATTTTAATCATATAAAATGCTATATTGATGTTGTTGATAATGATGAATGATGTTATGATAGCAATTTGAGAATTTTATTTTTTTATTGTAAGAAAACGGTGACTTTTTTTTATTTTCAGTGTCAGGGCTTGCCAAGAAACTATTTTTCTAATGGTATCAATAGATCGACTATGCCATCATGGTATTGTACAGTATTTATTATATCAAATACATTCAATTAATGAATCAGAACGGAGAGATGAAAAGCGGAAAACGGTCTTAAGCGAAAAAAAGGAAATTTTATGCCATATACAAAACTTTATCATGCATATCACAAACGCGACTTTTTTCGCGCCAAATCTGATGTTCAATYAATCGCGCGTTTTGATTGGCTAAGCTTGTGATCGCACAATAGTTTTAATGTTTGCGCTTTAAAAAGCAGCAACAGTAATAAA